TTCTACAATATATATATATATATATATATATATATAGTACAGTGAGTTGCATTATACATGCAAAATCAGGTGTACAGCATAAGCAACATGCATTGCATAAAGTTCTGGTAAATTAACTGTTCATCAGAGAATCAAACTGGCTAAATTCCAACAGTTATTTATCTCATCCACAAGAAGAGGAATCACCCTTATATAGCCTCTCAATTATACTTGAACTGATTAATTGAGAATAACTATACAATGCTGATATATTATGGATTATTTGCCAAAAATATTTGAGATTTAAGTTTTAATCAAGTTTTTCTTTTTGTTTCAATTGGAAACAAGTAGGTTGCTTGATATGAATCTCAAACATCTCAAAACTTCAATATTTGGCAAACAAATATTCTCTGTCGACTTATCCAATGAATGATGCATCAATATCAATTATCATGGATGATCATCTTTAATTTCTAGTCTAAATAAGGTCTGAATAATATAACAAAAAATCAATCATCACAGAAAATATGCAGTAAAATGGCGATGGATTATTATGAGGATGGTGATAGTGATGACGTTTTAAGTTAAGGAAAACAATTTTTTGATTCATAAAAAAAAAGGAACATAGAGATCAAATATCATGACTTCTATAATAATCTAAAGATATGTATGACCATCTGATAATGATGTTTTCTATGCGATATTTAAGATTTTCATTTTTTCTTTTGTCATAAACTGATAGAATGATAGGTTGACTTGATTTTTTATTAGATTTTTATGATTATAATATAATATATTGATCTTAATATGCCAATATCGAAATAAAATAAATAGTGAAATAATCATTAAGACAAAAGTCAAAATTATAAAAAATAATGTCATAATTTTTTATTTTAATTCTAGTCAGAATTGATCTCAGAATTATTAGGTTTGCTTTGAGATTAATATTGTATATATAAAATATTTATATTACCCTCATCTTTAAAAAAAAAAAAAGGCTCTTCCTAAACATAAATTGTGAGGATATTCATAGGAAAGTATTTTTCTAGAAATACTATAATATACAGAGAAATCACAAATAGAAATCAAGACACCAAGATTTACAAGAAAAATCTTATATGAGAAAAGCCATAAGCATTGATATATAAATAT